TACGTCTTTGCTAATACTTCCTGCTCCTTAACACTACTCCCCCATCTGACACTGATGCCTCTACCTCACCTCCCTGACAGCTCCTCTTCCTCCATCCACTCTGGTGTTTCCCACAGGCAGTTCAGTCTCTTGCCCTTTTCCTGTATTAGTTCATCCTACATTAGCTCATGCCTTCTTCTGAGTCCTGTTCTTGACAAGCACATAATCCAGTGCATGAGGTAGATATGTCACTAGATTGAGTACAGTACATCATAGTCAATGCTATAAAAAAAAATACGACAAATGGCTGTGAGTGCATATTCATTCATCTCTCATTACTCCATTTGATATTTTCCAAATCAACACTCCAGCTTCCCACTCTCTTGTAAGTCAGTTACTAAGTATCATATCTTTCCATCATATCCCCTGATCTCCAGAACCACCTTGCAACTCAGGCTTCATTTCTCATATGACCTATTGCAACCACTGTCTATCAGAAACACAATTTAACACATTTTCACACTGTTGCATCACCCATCTCCCTAAAAGACATACCATATCTTCCCCTTGCTTTGAAACATCTAATATCATTCCAATGACTAACAGATAAAGTTCAAATCCTTAGCACAAAAAATAAGATTATATAATACATTTTTCAAATACAGCCTTTTAAAAGTAGGAAGATGAAGTTCCAATTTCACTTCTTACTGGCTATTTTACCTTTGGAGTGTCACTCTTCCTCTCTAATTTTTCCCATTTGCAAAATGGGGACATGAAAAGAACCTACCTTTCTTGGGGTTGTTATCAGAAATAAGAAAGCTCATGCCAAACACCAGCACAGTACCAAGCACTCAATCAATATTAACTATTACCCTGGGATGTCTCATCTATCCAGAATGTCTCACTCCCCAAAGGAAGCACATAATCAAGGTGTTACTTTCATGTATTTGAGAATGATTAACAGTAAGAGTTAAATCGAAAATGGCCTTCTGGTTAATCCTGAACCAACAAAAACTTCAATTAACCAAAATATTGCTTTCATGAAAATTTTGGTTTGTCTAAATTTACTATCATTTATTTTAAAAAATCCATTTATTTAAAAAATTACTACATTAGTTTTGTTTTGTTTCCTCTTCAAATTCAGGAAGGAAAAAAATAATACCTTATCAATGGAAACCCACTTAGATATTTAAAAATGTGATTCTCTATAGTTTAAAATCCACATGAATTAAATTCAATCTCAACTGCAGGCTTAGCAATATTTTGCTAAGATATATAAAAATAACAAAACAAATTCTAGAAATTTAAGAAAATAAGTGTACATCAGACGATGGACAGTCAACTACTCAGACCTCACAATTAAAAAGATGAAATGATGAAATTTTTTTAAAAGTCAACGATTTTAATCATTTTTAAAACTGCAAAGTCTACAATAATAAACACAACAAAAACATACCAGAAACATATTTCAAGGAATTAATGTATTTATGATATTAAGTGCTAATAAAAATTACTAAGAAGATCCCAGTAAATTTATTATGCGCAAAGGACAAACAATTCCAACAAAGGAGAAAATAAAATTAGGAAAATACTGCATTTGCTTTTCTATTGTAGACAGTATGTTAGACAACAGGTACCCTCATACCCATTTTTAAATAACTTTTAATAAACAAAAGCCTATAAAGGCATAATAAAACTGTCACAAAACTGCAGGAGGCAATGTAAATCAATACAACCTTTCAGAAATCAATTTGGCAATATTTTTCAAAAGTGACAAAAAACTTCATACCCTCTGACCTTGTAATCCCTCTCCTAAAACTTCAGCATAAAGGAAAAGAAAAAGGAAGGACAGCTACATATTAACTTCATTACTTGCAAAACCGGAGGCAAATTAGATGTACAATTATTAAAAATAAGAAATTTAACTCATCACAATAATATAATTTAAATGTATAAAAACTTTAGCAAAAAGAAAACATTAACTATAAAAGCAAATATTAAACATTACATTTATGCTTTATCGTATAAAATCATATGGTGAGAAATAATTAAGAAAAAAATTGAAAGTCTGATATTTTTTTAAATTTCTTTGACCATTAAGTTGTTTGTAAAATAAAAAGCCTGTTGGAATTGATCAGGCCCACCACAGTAAGTACAAATTTTAAAATTGATTTTTCAGAAGCATAAAACCACAATTATAAATTTTTTCCCCAAAAAACCTATCACATAGAGTAATCAGATAGGCTCTTCTCACATTCAGAGCAGCCATACATGTAATTTTAGCCATGCTATTAGCCAGCTGGAACCTTGTTATATTAAAATCTCATTTTACCATCAAAACATAACTGTAGGTATGATCTCCATATGGTGAGCAGAAGCCATTTGCTATGGGGCACTTGGAGACAGGGCCTCAAGTGCTGAGGTTAAAAACTATCGGACCAAATGGAATGGTGAAGTTTAGATTTCTCCTATATCCCCAAATGAATTATCATGTTTCTTAGCCACTCAAAGGCTAAGCATTCAAGGAGGGAGAAAGTGCAAGCTGATTTGCTCTCCCTCTTGAAAATTGAGAACTTTCTCATTTTCTCCCAAAAGCACCATGGACTAATGAAAAATACACAAGCATGAGATCAGGACATGTGGGATACAGGTGACTCTAACCTCAAGCAACGTGTCCTTTCGGGCTTTAGTTGTTTAATGGGTAAAATTTTAAAAGCTGAACCCAATAATCTGTTAATGCTTTCAAGTTCCATAATCTATTAATTTAATAGAATTAAAATCACCCATTCAATATTCTTACTCAGATTGTAAAACAATTATTAAGTCTTAGAGCTAGGAAACTGGGGGCAAAGGTAAAATACATGAATGGTCAAAAACCTGGATCATATCCTAGCTATGCCTCTTTCTATATAACCGCATGATCTCGGGCAAATTATTCTGCTTCAAAATCCTAAAATCAAAGAAGTAGTAATCCTTACTGTCATACTCTTTTATTCTTGTGTTAAAAAACACACTGATTTATTCTGTCATAACAAGGGTTTCCTTCCTAACTAGAAATAATAATTTTGACTTCATTCTTGGAAATTTAAAAGTACCTTGTTTGTGCATTCATTTCTTCCAAGTTTTCTGGTATTGAGAGGAGTAGTTAACACATTTGCCTATCTTAAAGTTATAGTCAAGATTGAAAGCATTCCTCAAAAATGTATTCAATAAATAGCTTTTGAGCACCTGTGCCACACAATAGCATGTGCAAAGGTCCCTTTCCTGAAGAAGCCCAAAAGTCTAGTGGAGACAAATCATTAACTACCAACTGACAAATGCTAGTATAATGCACTATCAATTGGATTAGTCAAGACAAGTGGGATAAGATGTCTGGACAAGATTCAGTGATACTTTGGTTAGGTCTTGAAAGGAAGTTGTTTACTAGGTAGAAAAGAATTCTCAACTGAGAGGACGGTGTAAAACCACAAAGGAAGATGTCATTTTCAGAGACCTCTATGTAGTCTTTGTATGAAGAGGGCAGGCAAAATGATAGAAAATGAAATTAGAAACATACACAAGTACCAGAATTGTGAAGGACTTTGACTTTTTTATCAGATACAGATTATGGACAGTCACTGATGGACTTTTAAACGTGGAACCAAAGTCCCATCTTCTACCATACAGTCAAAGGAGTTGAGTCAAGGCAATAGACAAAAAAACGCAAGTCTGGATGTAGAATGGTAGAATAAACTGTGTTTATTTAAATGGCGAGTTCATGCTCTCAGGATGGCTTCCATCAGTTTCTTACGATGGCATATTAATACAACACTCAAGCAAAACTACTGCTAAAAGATTCAAGAATGTGTTTTTTTAATCTAAAGACTTTTTAACCTAACGATTCTTTTGAAGTCAATTTTGTTGATAACACTAAAGATCTATATAATAAATTAAGAAAAGCAAACAGTAATAACATCTGAGAAGACTTACTTCAGGTAAAACATTAACAAATGTTTAAATCTTTATTGTATATTGATTTTGGATAAGACACGTTTTGTGCCTATCTTTTGCAAGAGGAGGGTATTTATTTTAAATTCTTTTGGTTAAAGAAGAGCTGTCTTCATAACTAATCCCTTTAGACTAGTTTAAAGGAAGATTTTTTTTAATGGCAAAACTAATAGGTCCTGTTATATTTTAATGCTCAGGAAAAAAGAAAAAGGATGTATTTTCAAATTGTTATTTGGAGAAGCCTAAAACTCTGTTTATTTCACCAATGAGAGTGAAAAATGCATATGCCAATCTGGGACCACTTAAAGAGTCCCTACCCAAGTAATTTCCATAGTGCTAAGGCCTAGTCTTGGAACAGCATGCCTAATTGGCTGGGTAGCCTACAAAGATGAATTTGCAATTATTGAAATTCAAACTCAAGCTTAGCCACCAACGACTACCTCAAAGAAGTCATTCCTCATTTTACTTTGACAAAGAAAAGTAGGTACATAAAATATATTTGTACTATAAAATATCAGATGTCTAAAAAGGAGAGAGAAGCACCTGGATCTATGGAAACGGTGTGGTTCACCAAAGTTTCATCTCAGGATGTGTTTAGGGTGTGTCTTTGTTGTGGCCTAGTAATAACCACCCTCCCCCCCCCAAAAAAAAACAGTCATTGGGGCACCCCGGTACTTTCCCCTACCAACCCTCAGAGCATCCTGACTCTGAAACCACTGGGTATCTCAGCCTCGCCCTGATTTCTCCTGAGGCAAAGGCAGCAGCCCCAGCCGCGGAGGCCCCAAGCGCTCCTGTCACAGCCAGTGGGCTGGGGGCGGGGAACGTCCGCCTCCCGGCTTCACGCGTGTCTCCCCACAGGAGGCTCGCTGGGGGCTCGAGAGGGTCAACCCAGAGGGCAGGAGGCCGAAGGGCGCCAAAGCCTCATCTCAAGCACCAGGGCCCGAGCAATCGGACCGCGCCCCCTGCCCAAGGAGTCGCAGACGCTCTCCCAGTCCCGCCCCGACCCCGGCTCCAGCCCCGACCCCAGCTCCTACCTTGCGGATGTGTCCTTCTTCCTCGGCTTTGGCCCAGCTACTTTTCGCCCAGAGCCCTACGGGCCCAAGAACCGTAGGTAAGGGGAAGGGCCGCCTGTCACATCCCCGCGGGCCTCGGGGCCCGATCTGCAGCAGCCAACATCGCGCCAGTGGCCAGAAGGAGCGTCAGACTCCCAAGCCACCGCGCCCCCTCCCTCAGCCGGCGCCCGCCGCGACTCCGCCCTCCAGAGCCCTAGCAAGGGCGCGCGCGCAGCCCCGCCCCGGACGCCACAGCGCAGGCGCAAACCCTGCGGGCCCACACACTCTCTCTAGTACCGCCCCTGCCGCCTGACTCAAGCCTCAGCCCACCTCTAGCCCCGCCCCTGCCCTCTCCCCAGCCTTTCCAAGGCTCCGCCCCCAGGTCGACCCGCCCCCCTCCCCTGACCTTGCTATTCTGCCCCCTGATTCACGTGTTTGCTCCGCCTAAACCGCGACTTTAGTCCAGAAGCTGACCCGATCTCTAACCGGCTTTGGGGAGTAACATGTGCTGTTTGACCTAGGTCAAACCTATCAACCCACCTCCTGACACCGAAAAGTTACTGGTAGACTTAGCTTTGGAACTGACAGGTGCTCCCCCACCTTTTGTTGATGTGCACACCTCCATCATTTTGTGCTTGCGAATTCCTGTTGCCTGCCTTCCACTGCTCTGGGGTATGCCTGAATCAGACACCCTGCCTACTACACCAAAATATGAGTTGAGATCTTGCTGAGCCTGTGGAAAGGAAAGAGCAATCCTCTAAGTGCTAAGATTTGGAGCAAATCCATGATGCCTTCAAACCTGGGTTCCTTTCGCCAAGAACAAGGCCCTCCCCTTTGGGGATTCTGTCACCCACAGGAGGTCTCCCCTTCATTTCTTCTTGATGCGTAGGCCTGCCTTGAATGCCCTTTCCCTGAGGGCCTCCAGGGTATGGCTGAGTGTTAAAAATCCAGACTTCCCTTATCTGGAGATAAACCCGTTGCTCCCTAACATCCTTGAGGCCACAAATGAATAACATTTCAGGAGTATTTCTTGAAAAGTATCCACTCTTTCCATATCTGCAGATCAGTGACAATCCAAGGAGAAAGGGAATATGACGTACCAGGCTGAGACAAGGGTCAAGCCTGACATGTAGAACCATATTTCATTTAATAGTATACTTTTATATTTGGAAAATAAAGTGTCATTTTTAATATTGACCTCTAGAAATAAAAATTGAAGTTCTTGGGTGATAAAATGCATATTTAAAATTTTGAAAAAGAGTAGATCTAAACACTCTACAATTTATCTTTTGATTAAGTCGTATCTTTAGAAAGGCAAACACCAAACTGAAACTTTGACACACCTTCAAGAATACCCCTCAAGCGATGCATTTACATAAGCTTTGGGATTTATGCCATCAGCTAAATTAAGAGATATTACAGGAGATGTCTCCCCAAAGCTTGTCTTTGGGAATTGAGGAAGATGCTACACACTGAACAGTCTCCATGTAAAGATCTGGGAAAGGAATCTTTCAGTTCCCAATACCAGAAAGAGCAATATGCTTCTCTATTCTGCTAGGTAATCATCTTGTGACTCCTGGAACACTTGAGGTGATGGTGTTTTCTTTGGCAGCTTTTAAGTACTAAGTCACATTTCCTTCTTTCTCCTTCTCCTCTATAAAGGTTACTGGATGTTTGCTACGTAATAATAGTTTCCAGATTCTTTGCTATTTTGTCTTTGTCCCAATTTCCTCATCTCTTTGATTATTATGTCACATTAATTCTATCAGCTATGTCAAATTATATGGAGGGAAAATTTTAATATTAAATACAAATATATATCCCTATTAATCTAACCTCTGAGGGTCTGAAGATTATTTCTAATTAAGGTTAAGGATGAGAGGGCAGACCAAGCTAAGCAGTGCTTTACAAACTTTAGCATGCATCAGAGTCTACTGGGGAACTTAGTAAAACACAAATTGCTGGGTGCCACCCTCACAGTTTCTGATTCAGCAGGTCTGGAGTAGCACTCAAGAATTTGTATTTCTAATAAATTCCCCGGTGAACAATACCCCAGGGACCACACATTAAAAACCATTGCACTAAAGTACCTCTTCAAGAGTCTATGCTGTAAGCATCCAAATCAGGTAGAAGATGACTAACTCCCAGGAGTCCTTAAAGGACTGATGAGAGTGTCAGATACTGTCCAGTGTACAGGTTTCACAACTGTGACAACCTTCATCAACAGCTAGGTGGGAGAGATAAGAGCTGAGAAAGTCAGGGAATGACCCCAGCCCCATGAGCTGAGAGAGAAGGACAGAAGATGAATAGTCAGAGTCAGATGGTATAAATTTCTATGGTGGGAATGATTATGGCTTAACAAACCCTCCTTGTTTTTTTGTTTTTTGGTTGGTTTTTTGTTTTTTGTTGTTTTTTTTTTTTTTTGGATAATCCCACTGGTATCAGAGCACAGAGACAAGGAATCAGATAATCTTTCAGAATCCAGAATATACAGGGGGTGATGCTTCTGATTTACAGACATCTGTATGGAGATGAGTCTAGAGAAGAGCTAGAAAGCCTACTTACATATTTTCACCATGCATTTTTTTGGTTACATTAAAAAAAAAATCTCTATAGTATAATCATAATAGACAAAATAAAGAAAAGACTTTTCTCACAATTCTCATACAAGCATGCTTAATACAATCACAAAAGTATTTCAGCATATTTTCCTAATTTTATAGACATTCTTAACATGTTTTATTAGTTTGGAGATAATGTTCCTGGGACCTTTTTGTATTTCTGTCTGTCTGTCTGTATGTATGTATATACTGCTTAAATAATGCAAATTTATTATCTTTGACAAGTTATTCAGTATCATTAATCATCAGGGAAATGCAAATCAAAACCACAGTGAGATATCACCTCACACCTGTTAGAATGGTTGTAGTCTAAAAGGGAAGACATAACAGGTGCTACCAAGGATGTGGGGGGAAAAGAACCTTTGTGCATTTGTGGTGGTAATGTAAATTGAAGCAACTACTATGGAAAACAATATGGAGGTTTTAAAAAAAATTAAAAATAGAACTACCATATAATCTAGTAATCCCACTTCCAGTTATATACCCAAAGGGAAAGAAATTGTATCTCAAAGAGATATCTGCATCCCAATGTTCATTACAGCATTATTAACAATAGCCAAGACATGGAAATAACCTAAATTTCTATGACAGATGACTGGATAAGGAATATTTGGTATATATATATATATATATATATATATATATATATATATATTACAATAGAGTATTCCTCAGCCATAAAAAAGAAGGAAATTTGTGCTAACAAGGATGGACCTTGAGGACACTATGGCAAATGAAATATGTCAGACAGAGAAAGACAAAAGTTATATGATCTCATTTATATATGTGGGATCTAAAAACAGCCAAATTCATAGAAAAACAGTGTGGGATGGTGGTTTCCAGGGGCTGAGGATAGGAGGGTAATGTTGGTTAAAGGGTACAAACTTCTAGTTGTGAGATGAATCCATTCTTGAGGTTTAATATACAACATGATGGCTATAGTTAGCAACACTGTTATCAGATAATTGAAAGTTGCTATCAGAGTAGTTTTAATGTTCTCACCATAACAGCAACAAAATGGTAATTATGTGAAATGAAAGATGTGTTAACTAACATTAATAATTGCAGTAATCATTTCACATATGTAACTATCAAATTATCACATTATATACCTTAAACTTACACAATGTTATATCAATTCTACCTCAGAAAAAGCTAGGGCAAAATAACAAATTTATTATGTTAAAATTCTGATTAAATACTCTCAAGCATTCATCTAATAAAGCCACTGTTAAACATTGCTAGGCTCAGGCAAAAAAAAATTTTGGAGGTCAGAATTTTAATTTTAATTTTAATTTAGGATCTTATGAGACTAAATCTCCTTTTCTTCAGTTTTTTAAAAATGAATGCAGTTTTCTTTCTTTTCATATGGCTATCCAGTTATCTCAACACCATTTATTTTAAATGTACATCCTTTTCAAAAAAATGATGCTAGAACCACTAAATATCTACATGGAATAAAAAATTAACCTTGACATCCACCCAAAATTAAATGTGAACATTGAAATAACAAAGCTTGTTGTAAAAAAAAACAAGAGACAATGTTCACAATTTGGGATAAACAAATATTTCTTAGAACCCAGAAAACACTAACTGTTGGTGGCCTTATTAGACTGGTGTTAGAATGGTGGATTCAGCAACCTTGGTACTTGAGTTCTGGCTAAAAAAGAATTCAGAGTCAAGACTCAAAATATAAGAGAAAGTTTATTTTAAAAGTCACAGAGGTAGAAGAAGTGAGCCATAAAAGGAATTGGCTAAGCAAAAAAGTTACACAGGCAAAAGATGAGCACTTGGAGCTTAGCGGAAAAAGAGAGGCAAGGAAAACACACCTTCAGGAAAGGAGAGAAGTATGAGGGAGAAAAAGGAGAGGATGGAAAAGGGAAGGAGGGGTAAGGCACAGGTGTGCTCCATAGAAAGAGCCACACTGGGTCCTCTGCCCTACAGTTTTATCTGGAGGTAACAAGAGAGGATTTCAATAGAATATTCATTAGCTTTCCAGGTGTTTCTCCACAGGTCTGTGGTCTCCAGTAATTGGTTACTACCAGAGCAGGAGGTCATTAGTCAATTAAGTTGGTTCTGCTGGCATCTCTCCATCTGGTTTTGCTGCTTATCTTGGCCTGGATCTGAAACATGGCTGAGGCCTAGATGTCATCTCTAGGGGTTAATTACTTAAGGGGGTTGTCAGGCATGGGCTTGTACTCTTGCTGATTGCTAGGCACCTAGGGATCTCCATGCCGGTGAACCTCTGCCACCTGGACTATCATTCCTACTCTACTCATGCCTATCTAACTACCTACTGTATAATCATAAAAGAATAAATTGATAAATTAACATCATCAAAATTAAAAATCTCTACTCATCAGGAAATAATTTAGAAACTAAGAGAGAAAACCACAGAATGGGAAACAAAAATCACAAGATAATTATGAATCTGAAAAATAACTTGTATTAAGAATATTTCTACCTGTCAAGATGGTGGCATAGGTAAACATGGCTCATCTCTTCACAAAACCACAGCAAAATTACAACTAGGGTATAGAACAACAATCACTCAGGACCATCAGAAATCAAGTGGAATGGAAGTCTGACAAC